CGGCGAAACAGGACGTCCTGCAACGGTAGATGTTGAAGCTGTGTTAGAGGAAGTGGAACTAGCTCCATCGACTTCAGTGAGAATGATGGAAAGACGGACGGGAATACCAAAAACTACAGTTCACAAAGCTTTAAAAGACCATCGATTTCATCCCTACCACATTCAACGTGTTCAGGCTCTACAGGAAAGAGATTACCTGTCGAGGGTTAGATTTTGCAGTGAAATGTTGCGAATGCATGAATCAGACCCCAACTTTTTTAATAAAATAATTTGGAGCGATGAATCATCATGCAAACGTGATGGTTATTTTAATTTACATAACCTTCACAGTTGGCAGATAGACAATCCTAACGAAATGAGAGAAGATCGTTCGCAGTACCAGTACAAAATAAATTTATGATGCGGTATTTTTAATTATCAGGTATTGGGACCAGTGGAACTGCTGTCAACGCTCAACTCCCACAGTTATTTAAAGTTCCTTCGGGAAAGGCTTCCAACTCTTTTAGAAGATCTACCCTTAAACCTGCGGCGAAGACTATGGCAGCAAAATGACGGATGTCCTGCTCACTACGGGCGTGAAGTAAGAGCTCATTTACACGAAACTTATCCTCGCCGATGGATTGGACGAAACGGACCAATCACATGGCCTGCTCGATCGCCAGACCTGAATCCATTCGATTTTTTCTACTGGGGCTGTCTTGAGGACAAAATTTAATCAAAAACAATTCAAAGCGAAGAGCATTTGCGGGAACAAATAAATGGAGCTGTTGCTGAGATAGCCCAATTGAATTTAAGATCTCTATAAGCGTATTTTCTTAAAACGTGCCGAGCTTGTATTAGAGTAGAAGGTCGCCAATTTGAGCATATTTTATCAATAAATGAATAATTTTTTCTGCACACAACTCATGTATGTTTTATTTCACTTCAACCCTTCCTTCAAAAAAATATTAATAGATATAGCCCTTGTTATTGACTCTAGTCCGAATCCCGGTAAGTAACACAAAATAATGTCAGGAGCAAGTAATAATGTACCTTTATACTATTTAGCATGTCATTGGTCGGTAACAAGAGCAACTAAAATTTAAATCTATTAAATACATTCTAGCGTGCCTCAGTCCTTTACCCACAAAAGCGGCTATAACTTTTTTTTTCTATTCGAAACAGTAAGGGTGGCACCTTTCTAAAATCTTTATTAAATGAGCAATTTTTTTATGTAATGTAAAGTT